ACCACAAAGGTCAGCGAAAAGCCATCACCTCAGAACTGCTGCAGAGATATTGACACGAAGGTGATGATTGTTTGCTCTGTATTGTGACAGGTGACGAAAGCTGGTTTCACCATTTTGAGCCTGAAACGAAACGGCAGAGTATGAATGGCACCATTTGCATTCTCCATCAAAAACGAAGGCAAAGACAGTGCTATCAGATGTGAAGGTGATGGGCACAGTCTTCTGGGATGCAGAGGAGTTTATTCTGGCCAAATTCCTGGAACCTGGGCAAACCATCAGTGCTGCTTGTTATGTCCAGATGCTGCACAAGCTCCGTCATGCATTGCGCAATAAATGTCCGGGATGAAGCATCATCATCCTGCATGACAACGCTCGCCCCCATGCTGCTCGCGTCACATTGGAAGCAATTGCAGAGATGGGGTGGAAAGTTCTTCCACACCCCTCCTATAGCCCTGATCTGGCACCCTCCGACTACGATCCTTGGGATTTGTGAAGGATCAGCTGCGTGGACAACGATTTGAGACAAGGGAGGCAATTCAGAAAACAGTGCGTCAGTGTCTTCGGATGGTTGGAACGGAATTTTACAGAAGGGGAATTTTCAAACGCTGGGAGAAATGTGTACAGAGGAGTGGTGGTTATGTGGAAAAATAAAAAAAGGTCTGTAGATTGAGATGGTGTATATGGTTTGTCAATAATAAAGCATGTTACTTTACAAAAAATTGTTGCTCATGACTTTCAGTACGACCCTCATAATTTGATTTGGACTCATGTAGTAGTTGTAGAGATGAAACGTGGACAGAAATGGATTGGTGTGGTCTACTTATTTCCATTCATTTTACGCTTGTCATCCATAAAATGTGTAATAAATATATATTAATTTGGATAAGAAATCTACAGGTGACCAAGACTAAAATAGTAGAGGATACTTAGTGAAAGTTGGTTTCCATTTATTTTGAAAGGATACCTGAGAGAGTATTATTTTCAAATATAACATTACCTTAAATTGTTGCTATGTACTCAGTTTTAAACATAAGGGATGATTTTTTTTTTTTGCAAAATGTATAGACATTATTGTAATCTTCTTACTTAAGAGATTTCGCCACTAAATAAAAAAAAATGTTTTGTTATTTCCGATTTTAATGAAAAGGCTGCATCAGTGAAGATTTTATACTTCTAAGAGGTCTGTTATAAAAATTTTCAGGATGTTACATTGAATGGAACTAATGTTACTCCCACATCAACATTTTGCATGGCGGCAATGTTGGAATTGTTCAAGGTAGGAATTTAAAATGTGATGTTGGAGTGACATTCAGTAGCATGACTATGTGCTGAGTTTGACACTGAAAATCACCCGCTCTCTTTAACCTTTATCTGCCGTACGTCACATCATTGTGACGGCGCATGTGCGCGGTCCAGATGGCTCAGCGTTGCACTTCGTGACACTAATATGTAGTATTTATTGTAATTGTTGCCCTAATTGAGTGACTACGTATTGTACAAGAAGTGACACATGAAGGACTGCATATGAAAATGAGATTTGATATCCCTGTTTCAGAATCTCAGGGTAAATGTTTGTGTGGGGGGAGGGGCATCATAGGCATGATGCACACATGCAGATGACATGCATGGCTTTGTAGGATTGTTTTTGTTTTGGAAACTGGCCAGGTGTGAAGAGAACAAAATCAGTAACTAACTGACCTTAGAGGTTGTTACCCTGTGTTTTGTAAGTCTAACCAAATATTGTTGTGTTCAGGTATGGGGGCATGCTTAGTTCATTTCATCCAAAACGATAACATGTGTTTCTGTAATGTGTTGTTGGACAAGAAATTATGACACTAATTTATATGTGAAATTGTTTGCTAAAGAAATGATTGTACAGTTGCATTAGGCAAAATTATTGTGTCTGTGTTTAAAAGAAGTAACCTGGAGCTCTACCGACTCAAGCTTTGCTGCTGGTACGAGAGGCCTTTGTGGTAGAAAATGTGGCATATGCTGCCTTGAGGTTAGCACATTTGTAAACCTTTTGTATTTTGTCACTAGCTAAGTACCTGGTCAGGACTGTTGATGGAGAACTCTCACGCATGTTACGTTATGACACTGTCAGTAGCTTAAGTATATGGCACTGAATGGCAACAAGACTGAGAAGTAATGAATTAGAAAGGATTTGATAGGAAATGCTTGTGCCCTAACAAAGGCACTATCTTGGCAGTTGTCTGGAAGGACTAAGGGAACTATGAGATTCTCTCCATAATATTTCCATGCATGATGGCTCTGTCTTCAGTCAGTCAGTTGGGGAAATTGCTGCTCACACTCAGCAGCAAAGTCATTTTTGGTTTTGGGTCACATAAAGACGCATGATGAAAGATTTGTTCATTCCAAGACATTTGTGTGTTTTGAAATGTGGCCTCCTCCTGGTTGAGAGGAGTCTGATGATTACTACTACTGTCGACTATCTGAAAAACGCTCCTTGGCTTCAGGTTGGGTGATTTGCTGCAGCACAGTCATTTTTGGTTCTGAGTCCTGCAGGAGTCATGACCATAATTTATAGCCACCCAACTCTGGGAGTTGCTGACTGGCTTTGGGCCTTGCTTTGCTTATATAGTTTCATCAGGGATGGATTAGGAAACGCCTCCAACTGTCCCACTGCTGCTGGGTGTGTATGTGTTGCCATGGAAATGTGTTTGGACAAGCTGTTGTGTAGCAATGGATGCCTCTGTGATACTTCTTTGACACCAGAATTCTGACCGTTATGCATCATGTTAGAGTATGTCAAAAATATGATATAGTAACTTTGTGATCATGATGTAAAAAGAAACATCACAGCGGTGATGCAGCCCTTAAGATGTTGGGACACATTACAGTCTGGGGTATTGAGGGTGGTGTTAAGTAAGTAAGAAGAAAGTAAAGCTATCCCTGTAACAGGCCGTGAAGGCCCATAGGGTTGTGAGACGTTGAGGCTCCCCCATCTTCTAGACAGTCGGCTCACAGATGGTGATGAGGCTGTCAGCCTTACATGCTGGCTGCCCTTAACCCCAGAAAGATTCCTGGTACTCATTTCTGTTAGAGGCTGAATCAAGCCCAGGGCCATAATGCAACTGGAAGGATTAGGTCAATTGTAAAATCCAGTCACCTCATCGGGAATCGAACCCACAACCTTCCAGCTTGTAGCATAGTGCCTTAACCAACTGTGCTACCGTGTGTCCCTGTTAAGTGAATATGGGTAAAAACAAAAATAAACCTGTATGAGCGTATGCTTCCACTGGTGGGAGTTGTGTGGATCTGGTGAGTCACTGCAGCAGAAGTCAGGATAGAGTGTGAGATGGCATGTCTCTTCTAACAGTTAGTGGTGTTTATTGATGTCTCTGTTGGCCTTCTACTAACCCATGCATTACAGTGACTTTTACTTCTACTTATTTTGTGAACACGGTTAAATAAAATCACTAAGTAATGTTAGACATGCAACACATGTTTCAATCTCAAGAGAATTTTTGAGAAAAATACACAGCAAGAACAGCGGTCTGAGGTTCTCAAAGCTGTGACATGAATGCCTCCTCCAGGATGTGACGCTGTGTAGCTCAGTGGAAGTTTACCAGTCTTAGGGGGAATTTACTACCTCCATTTGGCTTACTCTTTCTTCCACCCTGAAGATTGAGACAATACTTTCATCTGAAACGTTAGTGAACTTCTACCAGAGTACATGGCGTCACATGCACCATCACAATAATCTTAAATGTAACATTTTTGTATTTATTGGCTGTATTTGTAAATACTTTCCAGAGAACTTTGATACATTATTTTTCGTTTTCATGTCTAAAGTGGATTTTAAATCATCAATAATATATGAAAATAAGTGAAACCTCATTAATTCAGATTTCTAATTCAGAATTTTCGATAATTCAGGCATCTGTTTTTGTGGGACTTGATCAGTTTTGTAAATTCTAACTCACAGTACAACAGATATTACATAATGCTGAGGGAAATGGGGCAAGATGTAGTGAAAGGACAGTGCAGACCAAAATAAGTTCAGTTCTAAACACGATCTCAGTAATACCAAATTTGTAGCCTACATAAATTGCTTTTAAGACACATGTTAAAACTGACATTTTTATATTTTATGACAAGTAAAATTATTTTGTGATATGCAGTCTAAGTTTCAAAATAAAGCTGTATCACCTAAAAAGACATGTGAAGTCCATTTTATAACTTCCCTGAACATATTCTTAGTAGCTCTTCCACAATTCAGACTTTCTCTAATCGGGACAAGGCTCTGCTCCCAATTAGTCTGAATTAGTGAAGTTGTACTGCAGTAACAGTTGTGTTTGCTATTGAATATTTGAACATACAATTTATCTGTATGTGCCTTTATGAAATAAAGTAAATGTATATTAATTTCATATTTATGTTTGAGGGGCACATGGTAGCATAGTTAGTTGAGGCACTGTGCTACAAGCCAGAAGGTTGTGGGTTCTAATCCCGACGAGGTCATTCAATTTTTCAATTGACCTAATCCTACCAGCAGCACTATGACCCTGGGGTTGACCCAGTCTCTAACAGAAATGAGTGCCAGGAATATTCCTGGCTACCTGCATGTAAGGCTGACAGTCTCACTGCCATCTGTGAGCCGGTTGCCTAGAAAATGTGGGAGCCTCAATGTCTCTCAACCCTATGGGCCTCCATGGCCTGTTACAAGGATAGCCTTACCTTTTATTTATGTTGGAAGATAGAGACATATGAATGTTCCTGTCTTCTGGGATGTGTTGACATGTAGTCTGGTGGATGGGTATCAACATTATTCATCTAGCATGAGGATGGAAGCAGCAGGCTTCTCTGAAACATTTACAGCCTTCCAACAGACTGTACGCTGTCACATACCAAAAGACCATAATCTTCATGCTGACTGCCCTGAGAACCTCAGATCTCTACATCAGAATTTGAAGAGTGTCATGTTGTTTGGTTTGTTCCAGTTGTTTCATCCACCCAGAATGGCTCATCCTCTGCCGCGACACCCATCTCACTCTGAGCAGCGCCGGGTGTCCAGCCATGTGCAGCGTACCAGCTACACAGGGCACAATGGTATGTCCTGACACATCTTGTCATTTGGTTTGTCCAGTATTGTCCAGAAGACATGTTTTCTGAATGTGTCACAAGGACTTTTCATCCACATTTCAGAGGTGCCCAGTTTGAATCTCTCAACTGGGACTCTAGCTATCCTGTTTGAGGCTTTCTGTGGTTTTTCTCATCCCTTCCAGGGTAGTGTCTTTGCAGTTCATTATCACAATTCCGTACAGCCTGAGCTGCTGACACCATTGTTAAATAAATCAGACTGTGGTCTTCTGAGTTGTGAACAGTGTAGTCATGTAGGCAGATATCAAATTTCGAGAGGAACTTGCTTCCTCAATCTTCAGGTTTGATGTAGGGTTAGTTATTCCCACGCTATATATGTCTGGAGTGGATATAAAGTTACGTGGTGTCACAAGTGTGACAGATAGAGGTCAACATTCACAACCAGTTGAGACAGAGTATCATATTGTCGCATGTTTGCTAGGCAACACGACAAGAAATTGTGTGGGTTTCGGATTTGAACGAATATTTATTGGACAGTCACCTTTACACTCACACTTATAGTTATTCACAACTTAAAACGTCTTCTAGTCTGTTCTCTTGCCGAATACCAACTCTACTCTTTTAAAGTCAAATACAGACTGAACTCTTCTCTGTGGATTCATAACTCGCACTCCGACCCAATAGGGAATACCATGTCGAAGGGTTAACCTCGCCCGCTGCTATCGAAACACTGCTTCAAACAGTTTGTGTGCAATGGAGGAAACTCCACTGTTAGGAATTGCTAGCGTTCTGATTCCTAGCCGCTGTCTAGGAAATCAACTCTGATCTCACTTATTCTGGCTTTCTGGTGGCACGCCACACTATGTTATCCAGAAGTAACTATCAGCATAGGCTGCACCATAGCTTAAGCGGTGAGTCGCTGGCTTCCCACCACAGCGGCCTGGGTTTGATCCTGGGTCTGGTCAAGTGGGATTTGTGGTGGACAAAGTGGCACTGGGGCAGGTTTTCTCTGAGTGCTTCAGTTTCCCCTGCCAATCTTCATTCCACCAATTTCTCCATCATCATAATCACCTGGGGCAGGCTACAATAGGCCAATCATTGGCTGCCGTGCCGAGTGTACCAAGTTGGACTCCACCCTGCACTAAGCGAATTAATTAAAAAACTATCAGCATCAGAACATTATTTCTACTTTGCCTTAGTTTTTTCTCTTTTGTCAGTTAAACTTAAACCTTAGATTCTTATCAGAACCTTCGTTAACCTTTATGGGTCATGCATTGTAGTATTGTAACTTCATGTGTATGTCATTCATCTGACTGAACATTGAATTTTCTTAGTCCTGATATTATGGCCTCTGAGATAAAATCCATCTGCCAGCCATGGAGTACCAAGAGATCCCATACTTCCAGGTCACAAATTGTTAATCGTGAGTTAAAATCTGGTTGCCAATGTTGAAATACTTGGGTATTTAGTATCTTCTATTCCAAGTCGATAGAGTTTACTAATAGCCATAGGTTTGTCAGTTGCTGGTGTTGAGCCTTTGAAACAGATAGGATGTGCTCCATAATGTAGTACACAGAATTTCCTGTGGTGCTGTTTGCAAGTTCGTTGAGCTGGCTTAGAAATAGGAACAATGAATAGCAAAATTAGTGAAAATCCTCCATATTGAACTACAGTTTATTATGTGAAATGGAAAAGTTCCTGTATGATCTTAAGCAACAGAGGCTGAAAATCAGAATTCCTTGACTTTTGGTGGAAGTGTGTCATGTCAGGTTTTAATAAAATGTGTCTGTTGATATAAGCGCTGATGCTAGGTTACTGACAGATGGAAGATGCAACTTCCACATGAGGCATTCTTTTTATTTTTGTAACATCCAAAAATTACACAGTTTTCTGCTAATGGTAAATACTAGATCTCACTGAGAAGCTAATGGTCACTCACCTACACAGAAACCCCCTCCCAAGTTCAGTACCATGTTTACAAGAGCCTGCCAGTGGTTACTGTCATCAGCCAGGCAAATCCAGCACACACCATCCGACCATATTTGTGTAGGTTCCAATTTAATATTATTCTTCTCTTTACACCAAGGTCTTCCAAGAGATCTTTCCCATCTGGCTTTCCAACCAAATTCTGATCTTTCCCATGTGTGTTACATGTCCTCCTCATCTTATTCTCCTTGATTTGATCAACCTCATAATATTGGCTGGAGGGTGCACATTATGAAGCTTCTTACTGTGCATGTTGTCTCTTTCGTGTCCTTAGTCTGTGGGGCATTCCCATTGGATAGCACCATGCTCTGTCCACATATCCCAGCTGCAACACATATATTATCCAATTCCTCATTTGCCTTGGCAGCTGCACTGTTTTTTTAAATATCGTGACAACTGGACTCTTACAGTACCATTTATGATGTATATATACATTCTTTTAGGATCTGCTACTTCTCGCCGTTCAGCTGCACCGCCACGGCCTGCCGTCACTCCTCCTTCACTCCCGAGATCTCCAGATGCCCCATCAGGAGACCCTGAAACTTCTGGGTCCCATCATCATCCGCCATTAAGTTTGGGCAGTGTGCCGTCACTACATGAAGCATGCAAGGTGAGAGGCCATTGTTTTTATTTCTTCCATGTTCCCTCCTTTTGTGTGACATCTTTCCTAATGTGTTGTTCCCATCTTGATCTTGAACTTCCTTGTGGGCATTTCTGTTGTTCAGAACCTTCCTTGGGGTTGTATCTTTTTCTGTTCTTAAAAAGTGCTCATATCATCTTATTCTCTTATTCATAATTTTCTCTTCTGTTGTCTTTATCTTTGAGGTTTATTTTACTTTTTGTTTGTTTCTGTTCTCTTTCGGTTTCTCCTTCAGCACTTCTTACAACTCTTGTCTCAGCTGCTGATTCTGTCTTCACTGGTGTACATGTTAATGTGGGACTCTAGTTCAGTGTTTAATTCATGGATGTTTCCTGTTTTTGGAATTTCTCATTCCCTAACTAAGTGGTAAAATTTTCCTGCATCTGTTATTCATTCTATAATTGCTTCTTATACTGTTTCATCAGGAGTGGGGATAGCACAGTTGGTATAGCAGCTGGCTGTGGGCTGGATGACTGAGGGGTCTGAGTTCAAGTCCTGGTAGACGCAACATTTTCCTACATGTTGTACAGACAGGTGCTGGGGCCCATCTGGTCTCCTCTTCAGTGGGTATGGGGGTAAAACAGCCAGGGCGAGAAGCTGACCACGCACCTCCAGCTAGTGCCAAAGTCAAAATGTGGATCAGTACATCCACACTCCCATACACCTTCATGGCCTACCACTAATTAATTAAGCACAGGCCAACTTCACCTTTACTCTTTCATATGTCATTGTTTTACTTTAAATTCTCCATTTACTTTTGTTGATAATTCTCTCTTCGTCATATATTCTATCCTTGGCTTATTTTTATGAAGATGAATTTACGTAAAGTGGCAGTTAATCCATAATCATAACAAACTCTGAAAACAGTAAGGAATTTTGCATCAAAAAGCCTTTCGTTCAGTACCCATATACTAATGTCTGTGTGACCATATTTTTTGGTTGGGTTTGAGGTCCTCATAATTGTAATTGAAGAGGCTGTAACACTCGGCTTGCTGGCTTCTTGCTGGGCTCACTGTTTGACCCTGAAGATGGAAGCAGTATGCCCCTCCATAACATCAGGCTGTCTCAGAACACTGTCCCTTCTGTAATTTTTGGTATTGGTCTTGTACTGTTGCTTTTCTTACCATCTCCATCATGCTGAACAACATTATATTTGTCAAAGGGGAAGGAATGTAGCCCATTACTATTTGACCTCTGGTTTTACAACTGTGTCATTGATAATAGTAATCACTTGTATCATGCTGTTTTTCAGAAACATCTACCGCAGTTTCTTGTCTGAGATCTGAGGATGTCACAGCATTGTATATTAAGACTGCAGTCACATTCCACATGTTCGTAATCTTAATATTCACTGCCATGAGAACTGCACACCTCAGACCTTTCAAAAACCTGATGAAGACTTTCCTTATTGAAGAAAGTTTGTCATCTCATTTTCTGCGATGAACTCTCATTTCAGGATCAGGGTGTGGGCGGTGGCAGTCCGCGACATTCAATAGCTTCCAATAACAGCAGTAATCCAAGTACACCTCCAAGTCCTGGACATGATCATGGTTCTTCTAGTTATGACAGTTAGACAATCACACTATTGTAATTGGCAATAAATTTGCTCATTTGCATGTTGCTGAGATCAACCAGCCATTTTCTCATGTTGTCAGTAGTCATAGTAAGATTATGGGAGAGGTATGACATGTATGTAAAGGTTTGTGATGATGGTTATTAAACTGACACGTGTTTGACATTCTCCATCTTCTCAATTTGGTTAAAGAAAGATATTTCGGGAGCTGACTCAGTCATCAGTCATCAGGTAAAGTATGAAACCAAATCTGTTTGGATAGGTATTATCTTTGTCTAACGGACCTAACAGAGTAGGTTTCATACTTTCTTACCTGATGATGGAATCAGTACCAGCTTCTTAAGTATTCTTTTTTCAGCCAAAAATGAGACACTGGAAAGTACAATGAACTGGGTGATTCACTCATAGGAGAGACCCTGATATAATAATTATAAATTGCACAACAGTTTACTGATGAAAATGAAACTGTGCATTCTGTGTAGATGTGGAGATAATTCGGTTACAGAAGATGTTAAAATTGATGTTGCACTGCCTGCAGACAGATTGACACTTTATATTCTTAAAAGTTGCAGCCAGCATGGCAGCAGTGTTTGAAGCTGTTTTGTTGCTAATGAAGTGATACAAACCATGCAGGAAAGCACTGCATCAGATGTGCCAAGTTTTGTTTTATTAGTAAATTACTGGATGATTTGTAATTATTAAATTGGGGCCTCTTCTGACTGAATTCAGTTTACAAGAGAAGTACGGTTTGATACATTAGTTGGGGAAGGAGGATGTAAGCTAGTTCATAACCTGTTGTACAAGTTTTATAAGTATTTGCAAAAACAAGTATGGGAAGAAGTGAATGCTTAATTTCAGTAGTTCCAAAATTTAATTTCCTTCAGAAGGTCGTGTAAGTCAGTAGTTATATGCAAGGGATTTAGAATGTGTGATAAAACTTCAAAAAATATCTGTCTCAAGATAGAAATATATGGAAAGAAGATCATATCTCCACCACAACCTGCAATGTGGCATCATGTATCAGCATTATCTGCTTGATGTCCCATACATCTTCGTTGGTTACAGCATTGTCTCAATGGAGTGACTAAATGACAAACATCATTAGTGTTTTCATGCAGGATGCTTCGTGCAAATATGGGATCGATTTGAACCATGAATGTAAGAGATCAGAAAAATGATTGCAAGCAGCCTTGCCCAGAAGGTCACAAACTCTTTGTGTTTGTTAACATAAACTGTACATACTCAGTATTTTAATTCACATTTTACTGTCTTGTAACAACAATGTGGTATTGCTTATTTTCAATATTTATTGTGATGACTCCCACATGATAAAAGTACTTAAAACTAACTTATGGTTACATAGCTGCATAAATTTCAGTGGTCTACTAAATATGATGGTCGAGTCTGGTGGAATTTATTTGCTTGCTGAGGTATGTTTCCTTTTTAGTTATTTAATTCCTATCAAGTACAAGATAAAATGGAGGTATCCATTTCAAAAGGATTAAAAAATATAATTGCCAAGCAATTATTTTAATTTAATATATTTGTGAAAAAGTTTCTTTAATACCTCCTCACTTGAGCGTAAATGAAATGACATTTTACTTGCGATCATCGTGACCTTGATGGGAGACGATTTAAAAACACTGAATGCTATATTGTACATTATATTTATTAATAACATAGTTATGTGAGTAGCAAATAGTTCAAAATTAAGGTATCATCCATGCCAGACATCTGGAGATGAAGTAGTTAGTGCCAGTCGTTCAAAGCTCTGTTGCATTTAGATGTCTGATGTGGGGTCCCTGTATTGTATGATTTGTCTTTAACAGTCTTAGTTTCTCAGCTTCCATCATTGTAAATTGATGACAGGTTTTCAGCATGGTGAACAAGACAGCAGTATGACATACAAACAGTATAGGATTTATTAATGTGCCTGAACTCTGAAAATCTTTTTTGTACTTTTGTTAGTCTGTTTCTCTGTCATGTCTCTGTCTGTATTCAGGTATTATTATTATTTCTGTGTTTTTTTCCCCCCTTACGAAATTTGTACACTGACATTATTCATAACTTGAGAGTGGCTTAAACCGTCTCTGTGATCTAGTGGTCAGTGCTCCTGGCTACAGATCCAGAGGTCCATGTTCAATTCCCGGCACTACCACATTTTTTCTGAGAAGTGGTGGGTCTGGAACGGGGTCCACTCAGCCTCGTGATGATAATTGAGGAGCTATTTCAAGGAAATAGCAGCTCCAGTCTAGAACACCGAAATTAACGGCCGTGGGGATTCGTTGTGCTGACCAAGTGACACCCTCTGTCCGCAAAAGTAGGCACTAAACTTCGCCGACAAGCGGCGGTCGATCACTCATCGGTATAGTTCGCTTGCAGACTAAAATCACGGAGTTTTGAGAGTGGCTTATATCAAGGTGCTAATTTATATTTGCCTTTATAATGTAACACTTTAATTTAGGGTAATACAACTATAGAAAGTCACTTAATGTAATGTATTATAGGGGAACTGAAAGTAAAACAAGTGACAGAAGGAAGGCAACAGTTTATTTACTTTGACTCGCCACTCTCAAGGTACACACAACAGACATGAAATATGATGATGCTCGGCCAAATGTTTTATGGGGCTGGAGGGGTGTTGGGGGGATCATGTACCATCAAAAACAAGTGACTACTCTTTTGTGATAAAATATGAAGTCACTGCAGTGGTTTGCCAGACATCGCCAACCAAGCTACAGGGGACCCAGTAAATGTCATTCTATTTCGTGTCTGTTACATAGACCAATTACAGTGTGAAAAATGCCTGTGACTCTTCTATAAGTATATTTGCATTTTGTTAACGTGGATTAATTTATTTCTGTTTTATTTGTATTTAAGTTTTAATTTATCATGTTATTTGCATTTTTTAATGTATTCACATGGCTGCAATGGTAGATCATGAAATTATCGAACATTCAAGTTTTATACAAACATTCATCCCTATACTTGAGTCACTGAAAGAGTGAACACAGGTAATTGGAGTGATGCTGCCTGCTCTCCCTCCTTACCTTCATTGGACACTTCCACTCCATCAACTTGAGTGGCAGAATGAAAATGCCGAAAGAGAGCATGCAGACAGTAGTTCAAGAAGACACACAGTAAAGTTGTTGCTGGGCCGACAGGTAGGGAGAGACTCTGTGTTCATTCTTTCCCTGACCCAGCTAGTTATATTCCCCTTTCATTCTCAGTCTGAAAGTCAGTGTGGTATGCACATCATGCCTATGAAGATTTTAATATATAGCATAATAAAAGATCTAAAATATAGGTTGAAAGATTTAATAGTGAAACAGAATTTTCTTTACGGAGTTTTGTTTTAAATGGTTTATTTCTATAAATATATACAAAATACAGCTAACTATTAATGGTCAGTAATTAATTATAAATACAAGAGAGGGAACTTCAGGTTTTGTACTATAAAAAGTAAAACCCTCTTTTTGACACCATACAGCTGTGTGGAAAGGGTTTGGGGGATATTGAAATGAAAATCATGTGATGGGGTACTGATTCCTGTACTATGTGATCACACTCCGATGTTTTGGGTTTCTGAATTATGTGTAGTTTGATATCTCTAAAAGAAGAAATAACATTCCAGTGCATTGTGAGACTTCAGGATCCCATGGCTGTGGCTACAAAAATTGCTGTGTTCTGGGATGTGATGTATGTTTTCGTAGACAGGTAACAGTGTTTTGCAAGAACCTCAAGCCTACATTTTCAGGGTAGAAGAGTAAGTGATGTACAGAAGGGAGGGCTGGAGGTAGCTGTGAGTAAACTAATGGGAGTCCAGATCCTTTGGAGGTCCACAGGAACCTCATACACTGCTCACATTGGTTTGCTCGTGAGGCCAGTCACTCCCAAGGCAGTTTGCTTTATGATGACTCAGTATCTGGATTGAGCAGCAATGAATGGGGCAAATGATGAATTGCACAGGATTCGGAAGGAAGGGGATAGATTATTGATTGAGATACTATCCTGGCATTATTCAAGGCACTGAGGAAAACACAAAAAACCTGTCAGGATAGTCAGTGCCTCAGCCGAGATTTAAACCAATCGCTTCCTGAATCTCGAGGGCACTATTGCTACGTCAAACCATTTGGTTCCAATCCTTATGCTCCCTTCTGTATGTCATTGACAATTTTTTCAGCCTTCTACTCTGAGGATAGAGGCAGCGGGTTCCTCAAAAATGCTGTTACCTGTCTGTTAATTACATGGTATCGCATCGTAGCAGAGCTTGAGAGTACGGTCACTTGATTATGTATGCAGCAAACACAGTGTTCAGTGGCGCTCTCTTTGTGGTTCCTGGTTGTCACTACTGTTTCATGCCCCTCCTCCACTGCCACACAACGTTTCAGTCTCACAGGGACCGTCATCAGGTGTATGTCGTTGCACATGAAGTGTTTCAATGTGGGCACACTGACCATGCACTACACACAAAACCCATTATTTTTGTGCTCAAAATTTAAAACATTAAAAATTAAAGGGTCATGTGTTGTGGTGTCTACTTTAATGTTGTATACTTGTTTTCTGATGGTGTGCACCCATATACATCTTGGTATATTGGGGGAGTTAACCCAGGAATCGCACGGATAGCTCCACTGAAGTTGTGTTTATGTACATTATATCAAGTAATAAAGTAGTGTAGCAGGATGCTTTTAAAATACAACATTATGAGAGTACAATAAAACTTCACTGTGGTATGTTTCAAAGGATCTTGGAATACTTTGACATATATATGAAAACAGGTTATATAGGATGGATGATAAGTGCACACAGGTGAATAATGACCACTACACATTAAACATCCACCCTATTAATGACCCAGTACAATAACTGTAGTTGCAGCATCCTGTTGTGTCATATTAGGTTCAGTCTCTCAAATCTTTTCATCCAATGACAGCATGTCGAGCATTATTTATCAAAATAAGTACAATGTTGATTTATTTTAGCAGCTCATTACTGCCACCATAGAATTGTAGTAGAACAGTGTGTAACACTCAAGCAGATGTTTGTTTGTGGAACGTGTTTTTTCCCATCCACGTTGCGCATTTAATATTAAAATGTATAAGAACTTATTCAGTAGACATGATGCAACAGTGGAACTGGTAGCAACAAATTACAATATTATATTTAAGCATCCTGTTGCACTTTATATGATATAACTCCATCTTAAGTGCAAACTATATTTATAGGTCTTTCGTCTTGTTCTTCTCTATGCACTACATGTTTCGGCCCCAAACAGCCAAACCTGATGATGGCCATTTGGGGCCGAAACATGTAGTGTATAGAGAAGAAGATGAAAAACCTATAAATATAGTTTGCACTTAGGACGGAGTCATAAGCTACAAATTAGGTTGAAAATGCATTGTTGCCATCAGTCTACTGATATATAAACTACACAACTCCCACAGTACATAAAAATCCATGCTCCAAGTGGGCTTTGAACCCAAGATCCCAGTGATCAAGCAGTAAACGATAGTACATAACTTTATATCCTGCAGACACTGTATCATCAGCTGCTTGTACACCCAGGATGTTTTGCTTCCAATTGATCATTCACAACTTTGGCAGTGGGCTACATTGATTGACAGTTCCTCAGCCAACCTTAGGTGATGACTACACAATCTTTCTTCAACTTCTGCTGCCATCTCTTGGTATGTTAACAAATATATAGCAGTTTGCTTGAGGTAAAAATGTCTGTAGATACCTAAGGTATATCTTTCCCTTCATATCCTGTTATAAATTGTGTCGTTTTGGGATGAAGCTTTTGGGGGTTGGGCGCTGAAATAGAGCAACAGCACCCAGTACCAGCATGTTGATTCTAATAATTTCATATTTTATGGCAGTATCTTTATAAAATAATTTCATATGTTGAGCAATACTGGATAGTTAACACTGGGTCCATTGCAGTATACGCTTCAGGAGTACCAGAATTTGACTCCTTGGTGCTACTCCCCAGTATCCTGCTTGGATTACTGTTCATGTAATGTGTTATACAAAAACATTCTAAGTACACAAATCTGCTCCCACCCCTGATAATTACTATTAATTTAAATTTATATCTGCTTTTGGCTCCTGCTTTCTTACCCTCCTTGCCCTTTGTATGCCCCTTTCCTACCATTGTCCCTCCTAGTGCCTAGTTCTGCATCAGTGTTCATATTCAGAATTTCCATTTGTACACACCACTACACAGATGCCACAAGACTGTATCAAACAGACATTTCATCAAAGACAACAAAGTCTCAAAGCACTTAACTGATGATCTATCCCAGAAGATAGGGCTCTTGATTAGGAATCTGTTGTACAGAATAAATCAACATCACCACACTGACAAGACAGCACAATAGAAATCTGCCTATGTCCAACTTTGGTTTTGAGAATATTAAAAATATGAAATGCTTTATGTTTACAATTAAATTTGATTTAAATGACAGATAGTTTAAGTATAAATTACATGAAGTATTGTTTAATACTGGTTGCTCCTTAAGGTGGCCAGTAGAAAGATAACTTTGACCCTGTGCTTAATTAAGAATTGCACCATAAAGACATGTGGGAGTGGGGGTATGGCTCCACCATTCTTGGTCTTAGCACAAGATGGAGGCTGTGTGGACCCCAGACCCAGTCCAGACAATGTGGAGATGAGAAAAATCTCTGGCCTCTGCTGGGAATTGAACCCCAGTCATCCCACCTATCACTATACTGACTTTGAAGATGCCCAATAGAGGCTGAAACATGTGAGGCTTTATGATTATTTAATTAAACAAACTGACAGATTTGGTTGCAGTTCTATTCTTACCCCTGTTCATTGTTTCTTCTAACTACCATTTTGCATCATACTCTACCTTTCCCTCGTAACTCTTTATATACCTCTTCTTCACAGTTGCTCATTTAACTATTATAAAATTATCTATCTATGGCTCTACACCCCTTCTGTTCAATCTAGGCCAATTTTTCAGTTTATTAATCATATACACAGTCGGTAGGACTCCTTGGATGGGAGATCAGCCTATCACAAGTCCACTACCTATATACAGAACAACACAAACATCCACACCTTGAGTGGGATTCGAACCCATGATTCCAGTTTTCGAGCAGGCAAAGACAGTTCATGCCTCAGACCATACAGCCACTGTGATCGGCTGTTATGAAATTATACATGTATACCACAATATTAGATGCAAAAAGTGGATGGAGCCAACATTCTAAAACTTATTTGTTAAATGTTAGTCTCTGAACAGTTACTTTCCATGTTTCTTGTGTGCCTAAAATATATGATAATAATGAGCCGCTCAGACATGTAACCACTGTAATTGTTTTGGTAACTGCCGTTGCAGAAAGATGAACATAGTTAAAAGAACTGAATGTAAGAAAGTTTGTACAACAGAGAGAAACCATTTCATTAGCAATAACTTCAAACACTGAAAGACCCACAATTCCATCCATTTTTAACTGTTTGAAGATTTTTTTAGAAAGCCCGTGCCTCCAGCTATGTTAAAATGGGAGCAAGTCCCAACTCATGCAGACTTTTTGTAATCTTGCATGTTCTTTACAAAGTAAAAATTGGTGCCTAATGTGGAAGGCAGATATGTGTTGAACATAAAATTAGGGCTTCAACTATTTGTATATATATTTTTTTTAACATTCAATATGGGAGGCATCCACTGAAAGTTATTAGGCCCTGCTGACTTTCACCAATAGTGATCATCAAAATGCCTGGTCATAAATGGACTTTTCCTGCATCCAATAATCATTCACACGTTCTGTTAAACTTTAATTTGCAAGACTTTCACTCAAAAGTCGCTAACAGTGTTTCACAGTGTATTGTATTTCATAAACTGTTTCTACTTTTTTTATGCTGTATGGGGAACTTCCAGTAAATGCTGTTAGAGGTAAATGTAAAGTTGTCCCTGTACATAACTACTTAGCACTATGCCATGATGGCATATGGGGGTGTAAATGTATAGATCCACGTTTTCGTGATCTTGGCACTAGCTGGAGGTGAATGGTCAGCTTCACCCCTTGGGAAAAAGCCCATGGTACCCATTGGATAGGAGGCTGGGTGGGCCCCAGAACCAGTCTGGACGACATGGAGAAAATTCTTGACCTTACCGGACTCAAAACTCTGACCCCTCAGTCATCCAGCCCATAGCCAGTTGCTATTCCGGCTCCTTAAAAAGTTGTTAGATCAATTCTTAAATAAACATGGTTTTATAAGGCCATAAATGGACTTTCCTGATCATGTTTGTTCCAGAAACCATTTCACAGATTTTGCCGACATTTGGTGTGGGAGACTTCACATCTTTGTACTTCATTATCCCCAATTCCTCAATTTGTAAAAATGCTGTTGGTAATTTTGTGTGCTATATTACTGAACCCACGTGCATAAAATAAAGTACACTCCTTAATCCAGAAACCATAGAGGAGCACAAGGCTACAAGTTAATGACAAGATGAAATGCATGATACTGATGTTTGGACAGAGCAACTGACTGTGGTATAGATGATGTTAATTGACAGTGGATGAAGGGCACTTGGGACAGTGTTGCACTCAAAATATTACATTTACAAAGAGGAGAAGAAACATGTTTAAAAGTTTGACCTGCGTGGCCTTGTGGATCTGGCATCAAGGCCATGCAGGTCCATGCCTGACTTGCATCATAGCCCTGAAGCTTCTGGGTTAATGCCCTCCAATTAACCTTGCCTTTCTCCCCCCCCCCCACAATATTCTATACCTGCCAGCCAGCCCATCTCCACAGACCCTTCCCCTCTCCTCTCCCTTTTCTTCCTGCTCTTATACAGCTCGGTTCATTTGACTTGACATTAGTCTGTCATGCTGGTTCATCACTCCTGGATTTTCTTTTTTCGTCTACCCTGAAGGTGGAAGCGATACATTCCTCCAAAACATCAGTTAACAAAATATCTACACGGCGCCACATCCCAGAAGATGGCTTTCTTCAGGACCAGAATTATTATTTTCCATTGTAGAAGATAAATGCATGAAATTAAAAAAAATACAAATATGCATTGTTGGACGAACATACTCACGTAAGATGACGTGAACAACTAAATAATCTGAAAGAGGTAACTATTTAAATCATCCAAACTATCCCTTGTATGCCACTCTGGGAGGAGACCGTCCATATAGGAATTAAATCAAAATCCGGTAATGGGTGGAGAGATGTTACAGGATTGTCTCGTGGATTCTGGAATGGATAGAAACAGATGGAGAGGAACATAAAAGGAAACAAGCAATACATGTTTATAGGATAACACCTACATAATACTTGTACAACAAAATTAAGTCTTGGAGATTAAAAATGTTCAAGTCACACCATACTGTTTGCTCGCTGTGTTGCGGTTTCTGCCAGTACATTCTTACAACACTGTGTTTTACCATACATGGAAAATTAAAATTTAATTGAGTGTATGAAGATTTCTAATGTGGTAAGTTGTATCTGGGATCTCAAAGTAAATGCCATTCACATGGAATCCAATGGCAATGACACCAGATTTAAGAACTTATGATAAAATTTATCTTGCAACACATCCTTACTTAAAAGTAAAGTATACATTTGAAGTTGCTTCAGCAATACCCAGTGTTACTAAGCCAGCATTACCGCTGCTAGTCATAACCTGACCTGACATCTCTCTTCCCAAGTCACAAGGCTACAGTTGGCAGTGTGTTGTGACTTCATTTTTTGTCAAAATTGTTCAGAAATTAAAATCTGAACATTAATAAACATCTGGGAATCCATTCTGGAGATCACTGGTCTAACAGACAGGTAATTAAAGGCAATTAGAATAACAATAACATATTCTGGTTATTGATAAATGGTAATAATCAACATTCAACAGTATTACCACCCACTATCACATTTAAAATGGCTTCAGTGCACAGACTTAAAGCTTATCAATCATTTTGTGGGAAAACCCTTACAAGCTTTTATGTATTACCTAAATAAGAAAAAATGTGTTCATCACAATAAATACATAAAGGTTATAAATCACTATTCAATAAGTTTAATTATACTAAAGACTATCTAATTCTTGTACATCAACATATCAGAGGTCTTGGGGGCACTTGTTGATGGATTGAGATGTAAGAACCGATTATGGCTGTGGCCAAAGTGTTGGTGAAACTCACTGTAATGCAACAGTTTTAGAACCCCGAGGACTGGTGTAACAGTTTGAAGTTAGTTCTGATGATAATGTACAGTTGATTCTAAAGAGAAGAAATCTGCACTGGACCAATATAAGAGCTGTAATCAGAGCAGAAATGATACTAACCTCATTGCTAGTAGACTGGTGATTCTCAGTTTCTTCAGTGGTGGTGCTGAAAAATAGTTCATCAGATAACAGCCAATTTCTGTGGAAACAGAAGCTTGCTCGAATGCTGCCACAGGACTGTTTCTATCCTCTGTTCCATTGGCAACACCATAACTGTCCCTCAGTATGCTGGTAATTTGTAATGCAGGTGCCTGCACATATGACAATTGCTGGCCATCCATCAAGGTTACATAGTCCCAATTTTGTGGAGCGCTGACATGATTCATGGACTGGTGTGAACATCCTCCTTTGCCAACATCTGCAAACAATAAAAGAATGCTTCCATCAGCCCTCTTATTTCAAAACCTAGACCTAGGTGGTATGGAAAATTACCAGTCTGCTTAGTTAAGGCTAAATAATACAAGAGACAATTTTACCCAAAATACAAAGCAGTGAGTGTCAATAAAAATTAATTCTCAGCTTTGACAATTGTTTCTTAGTTTACATAGTACATATAGTGTTGAACTGGAAGTCAAATGGAAACTATAAATTGGAAAGGATCTGCAAGGATGTCATTAGGGTACATGTAAGGAACTATCTTGGCGTTTGCTTGCAGGACTGAGGAAAATCATGGAAGGATCTTGTTCAGGAGAAGACTCCTTCAGGATGAGAATCAAACTTGGGACTTCTTGAATAGGAACTATGTGTTGCATATCTTAATACATACACAGATCACATAATAATAGGAAATCATCTAAGGTCACTGAGGCTGCATTATGGTAAACCTTATACAATCTCAATATTATCAAATAATGTGTTATTAAATTAGCATAAATCAATCAGGAATTAGATGGGCGTTAGGTACCTTCAAACCATTTAAGTCTGCAGGAACAGATTGGATTGTACCGGCACTTCTGCAGCAAGGGGCGGAACATTTAGTCCCACACCTATGCCGCATATTCAGAGCCTGCATGGCACATGGGTTTATCCCTAGGGCCTGGAGGCAAATCAAAGTGACATTTATACCAAAGCCCAGGAAACTTGATTATACCGAGGCTAAGGCTTATCGTCTTATCAGCCTGTCGTCTTTCCTTTTGAAAACGATGGAGAAAGTAGTAGACACATTAGGGACGGTGCATTGAAGATTCATTCTCTGCACCAAAACCAACATGCTTACCAAATAGGTAAATCTACCGAAACTGAATTGCATAATGCAGTAACACGCATAGAGAATGCTACTGAACACAAGGATATTGCCCTTGGAGCATTCCTTGACAAAGAGGGAGCCTTTGACAGAACCTCCTTTGATACAATAAAACATGCTGCTGAAAGGCATGGCATTGAGCCTGCAATATGCAGATGGATCTGTGCCATGCTGGAAAGCAGGAATATAAGTGCTACATCGTCTGGAGAGACCCTGGGAGCATCTGAGGGGAGAGGGTGTCCGCAGGGGGGCATTCTATCCCCTCTCTTGTGGAGCCTGGTCATGGATGATCTTCTTTGGGAGCTCAACAGTACAGGCTAATTCACAATAGTATATGCTGATGATATAGCAATCCTAATTAATGGGAAATTCCCGCACACTATATCAGAGGTTTTACAAACAGCCATGTATACAGTTCAACAGTGGTGCTAAAGGACAAACTTGTCTATCAATCCAAACAAGACGGTGATTGTACCCTTTACCAGGAAGAGGGATATATAGGGGCTCAAAGAACCAATCCTCTTCAGTAAAGTGACCCGCCTATCCAGTGAAGTCAAGTACCTTGGATTAACATTAGACAAGGGGCTGACATGGAAACAACAGCTGGATAAGGCTATTAATAAGGCCTATAAAGCCTTCTGGACATGAAGAGGCATGTTTGGGAAGACTTGGGGACTGACACCAAGGGTGGTATATTGGATATACACTGCAGTGGTAAGACCCATAATCACCTATGCTGCTGCTATATGGTGGCTAGAGTCAAACTCAAAACAAGTCAGGCAGAACTTAGCAAACTGCAAAGGATGGCCTGCTTGGGAATTACAAGAGCAATGAGAACAGATCCAACAACTGCAATGGAAATCCTACTAGGTCTCCCTCCACAGCATCTGCAGATGGAAGCAGAGGCCAAGTTAGGAAATTACAGATTACGTTGCAATGATCAATGTAAAGAAAGGACAGGTGCACCCAATGTTTCATTTTCCCTTGTATTCTCATCTTACGCCGTCTGAACCACCACCCTATCATTACAGGAACAATATTATTATCTGACATTCTAGAAGAGATGTGCACGAAATTGACGGAAAAACACACCCACTTAAGATGTTGTGAGCAACTAATCGAACGTAAGTTTCCTCAGTGTGCGCCTGGTAATTTGGAAACCAGTTGCCTGCTTGAAAACGTGGTTTCGTTGCGGTTGCCAGTTACTTTGAAGTGCGCCCGGCGTAATAACTTTGAAAGACCATTCTGACACGGATTATACGTGTTCAAGGGCTTAACGAGGTAGTTTTTGGACAATGCACGGATCAACAACGGCTCACATGGATTCTGGGATTGGTAATTACCACCTCTCTCACCACAGTAATCGAGTATGCCCTTCGCAAATGTTTATGATTAGGTCAAGAACATAATTAATTCCAACAGTCGTAATATAAAATAAACCATTCTGCTATTCAGTTTGGAGCAATTGTTTCCATTATCCATTGAGAGAAAGTGCAAACGCCTGGCATAACAGTTTGACATCTAGCACATCTAGCACTACTGCCCGCCACTGACCAACACGACTTCGAATGCAGTGATGGCAGTGATGCCACGGTTCCGTGTGGCTACTGTGATATCTGTGCATGGTGTTAGAAAGTTGGTCTGTAATAGATCGTAATAGATGTAGGTTATGTGTATGAGGTATAGAGCCGTGTAGAGGGTGTAGAGTTAGCTGTTTCACCTTTGTAGATCAAAAAACATAAATGTTCTCTTAGTTTTCTGGTATATTAAAAAGAAACATTATTTTTATGTGAGCTTTAAGAAATTTAAGACTTGTTTTAGGATAAAATTTCTTTTATTTTAAATTTGTTAAAACAATTATTAAGTCTTCACAGGCATCGTTGATGAAAATTTAAACTCTCAACCCAAAGCATTTGTGTCCATACCAAGGAAAAAAAAATACCGATTTATTACAGATTGTAATTACAGGAATTTCTTAACCTTGTGAAATACCTGAGTGTTTCAAAACATTTTCAGTTTGTTTTTAGTAGCTTCTCTGGACGTTTTTTCCTCTAATGAATGTATGGAAATTTTGTCTTCGGCTCCCACCTCTCACCTTGATGCCCAAAGTGCTGTAAAACGGCTGTGGCTGTTAGAATCAGTTGTGACTTCATGACTTACTGTGTTTGTTACAAAGTGCTGTAGTGACATTTTTGTATTTGTTAAGAAATTTATTTTTAAACTCAGTGTATTACAGAATATTTTTCCTAGCTTCTGGAAGCAGGTTGTAGATATTCCAAGTTTTCAGAAAAACCAAAAATTCCTCTTCCTAATACTTTTTCAAAGTTATTTAATTTACCATACATAGCCACATTTCTCACATCTTTAAATCTGTGTGTAACTCTTTTGAACTTGGTTTTGCCAAATTTAAATGAGCTGTTGCTAATTTATTCATATTCCTTATTTCATTACCCCTTTAATTTGTTCACAAGGACAAACTAACTATTTATTTTTACTCCAGTAATGCTTTCTATGTCACTGCACATTAACTGGTTGGCCATAAACTTAATATTTATGTTTTACCTCACAGTTACTTGAAAGGGTGTTGCAGTTATGTAACAAACAGTCTTGCATATATATTTCTGGCATGGTCTTGTCACCTATATTGTAAAATTGGGCAAACCTCAAAGGTCAGTCTTGGGGACCATTGCTTTTTAGTATTTCATTAATGATTTATGTTATGTAATTGCTCAGGATAGGGAGCAGTGGAGGGCTCTTGTGAACACAGTAACATAGGGAGAAGTTCCATAAAATGCTGGGAAGTTCTTGAGTAGCACCACAGTTGGTGGCTTCTCAAGAAGGGCTCAGCTCCATGAATGAGTTAGAGTGAGAGTGATATAATTAATCATTCACACTGTCTTCCCTTTGCTGACAACTTGGAAGCTTATCAAACTAATAAATTAAATGAAAAGTGTATTTTTTAGTATAAAAACGCATGCAAACACAATATGGATCCATGTTGAATGATGATGCAATTCAAGAACTAGCACCAGTATTCTTGTACAGCTGAAGACCCAAGAAAAGGGTTGAAACATGTAGCATTACCACAACAGCTAATAAAACAAATGTTGACATAGCAGTGTCTATTTTGTGTTTTTCAGAATTATTGTTGTGTAGACTGTCCCGTTATATATCTTTCATGGATCTATACATACTCCCACCCCCATACATCTTCATGGCATAGTGCTTAATTAGTTCAGCACAGGGACAACTTTACTTTTTTTTAACTTATGAGGTATATGAGATCACCTTGCTGTCTGTCACCTTCATTTTCTATGTGGTCCACATCGTAACAAAGGAAGATTAGGTGATTGGTTCTTTCCAGAACTTGTTAGTTTTGCAGACATTGATTGCACATATGATTGGTGAAAAGAGTTGCAGCTCTTTGCCACAGTAGGTTTTTGAAAATATTTCATATCATTTTGATAATCTATGAGAATGAAATTTACAGACACTGCATATCAGGTGTCAACACTTTATTTTTAATAAATGTTTGCGCCATAGCTCAAGCGGTTAGTCGCTGGCTTCCCACTGTGGTGGCTCAGGTTCGATCCTGGGTCTGGTCAAGTGGGATTTGTGGTGGACAAAGTGGCGCTGGGGCAGGTTATCTCCGGGTAGTTCGGTTTCCCCTGCCAATCTTCATTCTACCAATTGCTCCACAATCACCCCACTAGCAATAAAAAAAAGTGCAGTGGCGTAAAATGTCCTACCATCAGATCAAGAAACATTTCCTGCTTGGAACATACGTAACTTTATGTTCAGTTGCTCCATTGGGCGCTGCCTTTCAGCTGGATGTATTGCTGCTGCTAATGCATTTTTGTAAATTGAGAGATATTTTTAGGTATTTGTTTTAAAATTGATTAACTTTAAACAATTCAGACTTTTTTATTTGTTTTTTTTTGTCTGTGTGTTTGTTTTTGCTGTCATTTTGCCTTCATGCAAACTCTGTAATTGGCCCATTGCTGTTTAATTCAGCTTGTATATAATTAAGTGATTGATTTACTGTTAGTTGTAGTATTACTACTACAACATGGCGTTGAGGAGAATATTTGGACCGAGGAGAGATGAAGTGACAGGAGGTTGGAGAAAACTGCATAATGAGGAGCTTCATAACTTGTACTCTTCTCCAAGTATAATTAGAATGAGCAAATCAAGGAGGATGAGGTGGGCAGGGCATGTAGCACGAATGGGGGAGACGAGGAATGTATATAGGATATTGGTGGGAAAGCCAGAAGGAAAGA